TACCTGGCATGTGAATGTGTACATGAATTTTTTTTTTTTAATTTTTTTATCTATCTGCTCCTATTTTTATTAAACACCATTTAAATCTTTGCGTTGTTTGAAATTCTAATTTCATTGTTAATTGATGTTGACTTTATAATTTTAATGACGGCTAAGATTTTTTTTTTGTTTCACTATATATATATATATATATATATATTTGAATTCTTCAATCATATATTCGGTTATGTCAATGTTATCAATGTGCGTGCCCCCTTTTTGTTTCATTGGACTATTGTATGAAACCCACGTTTCATCGATGGCTTTCCCAAGTGTTGAAAGAGTTCTATTAATTTCAAAGGTTATCTTTTTGATTTGTTATATATATATATATATTTGAATTCTTCAATCATATATTCGGTTATGTCAATGTTATCAATGTGCGTGCCCCCTTTTTGTTTCATTGGACTATTGTATGAAACCCACGTTTCATCGATGGCTTTCCCAAGTGTTGAAAGAGTTCTATTAATTTCAAAGGTTATCTTTTTGATTTGTTCTTTAGTTTGCGCTGTGTGTGCTCGTCCATCAGCTCCTCCTTTCCACCTCCTTTTTCCACCTCTTCTTTACCCTTATTTTTTTATTCACTTTCTCATATTGTTTTAGATTGCTTACATTTTTTGGTCCTTTAATCATCATCATCATTATTCTTTTCTAAAATTTTGTATGGCAAAATCTTTGAATCCTATTCATGTTAGCTGAATATAAAATATAGTTCTGATATGAATTCCATCTGGGTTTGTACCTTAGAGTTGTAATTTTAAATTTCTATGCTTCCTTAAAAGTACCATAAAATTTCTTCTACCCTTATTGCATATCTATCTAATCCTTCTTTAGGTAATTAAATGGATCATGAGGGTTTGCTTAAAGATTTGACCGATAAGACTGTTGATACTATTTTTGCAGACTTTATGGCAAGGTATCTTTTTTTCCCTGAGTTTTATGAATTGTTTTGCAAATTTATTGTTTCCTTTCTTTGTTTTATGGAATTTTTTCCCATTCCAACTTTACATCATGCTCTTTAGTTTTTGATGATATAATTTATGGCATATTATAGATAATAATGATCTTAGAATCTATAACCTCAATTTATGTTTTTGGCCTTTGTGAAATAGACAATCCTCTTAAGTTAGCAATTCACAATAACTCAAATAATTTATTTCCAGGCTTTCATCTTTAAGTATAAATGTGTAAAATTGATTATTTCTTGCTAGATAACTATATTGTTGTTTTGACCAAACATCTCCAAGTTGGCTCTTACAAGGGACAAATGAACACAAGATGTAATTGGCATGATAATTATGATTAAGAAAGGGTCATCTATGCACAATACTAAAGAGAGGAAAAGTTACTAACATAGTAACATACTTTCTTAAAATAGGGCTGAGAATGAGTCAAATTTTAAAGATCACTTGAAAGTCATAACATTAATTGCTTCAAAATGATATTGGATTGAAATCAACATACCTACTACAAGGATTGAAATCAACATGCCTACTACTAGTGTTGCTTGGGTCTCCTATGTGGTGGATTATGGGCTCATTACACAAGGGTGGAACATCACGAGAGGTTTTAACTATTGAAAGCTTATGTTTCCATTTAGCCAAATGTTAATTCAAACAAATTTATCTTCTAAAATTTAAAATTTCCTTTTTTCTTATAGTTATTCCACCATTTCAGACAATCTTTCATTTTTGTCCCTGACTATCAAAATTCATGGTGATACCAATGTAAAGGCAAGCACATTTAATACATGTAATTCAATAAACATGATTATCCTATAAGTAATGTAGGATTTATTATTACTTGCAAATTTCAATCACCTGTAAGAATTCAAATATAGATAATCAAATCAACACAAAATAGAATAAAAAATTTGAATCACATCTAGATTAATTCATGTTTATCAAACAAAATATAGGATTCTCTAATAAATTAAAAAAATAAATAATCACACTTTGTCACACTTAATATTATGCTAGATTTTCCAATTGATAATGAAAATTATTTAGCTTATAGCAACAATGATACCTTGTCATAGAGCAGGATCAAGCTCTAGTCGTGATTGGGTGATCTCAGGAGATATTGTTAGGTCTCTATTTTTTATAGCATATGATTTTTATCAATCATAACCAAAATAGAATATGAGGCCGTAATTTGAATTAATCTTGAACTGGTGGCCATTTGAGGAATTTTGGAAATTAATTAAGGACTTGAATGAAATTTTGATATTAAAGTTAAAATTTTAGATATTCAATGAGTTGCTGAAATATTCTATGAATGGCTTTGGGTATGAAGAGATGAGGTGTTGGAGAGAGAAAGGAGGGTGATGGGCTCAGCTTCGAAAAAAAATGTTTTGACTTATTGTTCTATATAGTAAAGAGAGGATCTTGAATTTATTTCTCTATAGAATATGGGGAAGGAAGGGTGGAGTCCTAAAAAACTCGCATGAGTCAGTAAATTATTTTTTGAAATGTGAGGAAGAACCCACATGTAGAGAGAGGTAGGGCATATGGGGAAGAGAGAAAGTGTAGAAGAATAATTAACTGTTGGAAATTGCTGTAATCAAGAACAAATCTATAGATAATTGATAAAATATCAGTGAAAAGTCAATATACATTTTGATATGATGCTAACTTGTCATATGTTAATGAAATAGTAAACTCTATAGGAAAGTTCAAAAGAAATATAATAGTAATACTCAAACAGTGAATTCTCAAGCTGTTGGTGTTAATAGGTTTCAAGAAAAATAACAAAAAAAATTGAAGCAGATGTTGCAAGAATTGTTTCTTGAATTTATTAGTACTTAAATATTAAAAATTCATAATAGAAGTATTTATAAAAACCTTTTATATAAAAGAAAGAAAATCCTAATTAAGGATGAAAGAATCGTTTCTTGATTTAACTCACTCTGATTGGTCTATGAGAAATTCAACATTTCTAAATCGAAGTAGCTGAATAGTCAAAACATATTGATGTATTGCATCAAATTATAAATATTAGCATCTCATGATAAGTTTGCTCCACCATCCCTATTGTGGCCTTCAATTTTGGAAGCAATTGGTTGTTTGGTCGACATCTCAATTTTTGCCTCTATGTGGGGGGCGTTAGCATTTCTGGCCTTTGCACCCTTGTGCGAGACATTTGCACCCATCAGCCTATCTCTCCTGATGCCCTTATCTCTTGGTTGGTTCATTTTGACTAGTGCTTTTGTAGGTGGTGCTAGTGCCCCTCTTGCCTCATTCTTATGTATAAGGCTTGTCATAGTTTCTTTTCATTCTTAATGCAATTATTTTGTCTTCTCTATTTAAGGTTGCAACCTTCTCACTCTTCTTATTTTAGAATTACTTCTTGGCCCTTTAGATGACTGTCACTCTTCTTCATTCATAATTTATGCTACTTGTATTCTCATCTTATTTTGTGTAGCATGTATCAACATTCCCTCTCTAAGATACAAACTCATTCTTTTTCTTCTTTCACATTGCTTGCTTCCAGGGTTTTAGTTGAACCCCTAAGGTGGTTTTTTTCACGGCCACTTTGTTGATAGGTCCTTATTTCATGGAGGCTCCTTTTAGACCTTCATAAATTACACCTTTTGTTGCTCAAACTACTTGTTCCTTTAAAAAGGTTATTGGTGAGTTGAATGATTTTTTTTTTTTTTTTTGAAAGAGGCGAGTTGAATGATTTAGGATTGCATTCCTCTTCATCTAACCACTTCCTTTTATTTTCTCATTAATGTTCTGCTTCACCTCAACTTAAAGCGGTCATTCATATATAAAGGCAAAGCTGTGCTCATTTTCATTGAAGATGAGATCTCTATGCATGTCAGGCCATTTTCTTTTTTTATTGCTCATAAATTCTCTTTGAGTTGCCCCAATTTGGAGTTTAATCACAAATTCTTGTTAGCTTTATAGTTTGTTCTTGACTATTCCGTTGGACTCATCGACCCTCTCATTGCTAAAATTGTCTCCCCATTTTTATTCTTCTGAGGAGTCACTTATCACTCATATTATGGATTGCATTCCCTCATATTCGTTGCTTTATTTTAATCAATCTATTTTATTCTCCATGGGTTATATTTTTGATAAACCTTTATAAGTGAATGCTAATAGTGGTGGTCATTTTAGGCATTTTGTGGTTAGAATCCTAATTGAATTGGATAAGTTTTAATTGGCTTATATCTTGTGGATATTGGTAGAGTGTTGGATATGAATGCATCCCATCCTATTCATCTTCAAAATTTTTGACATAGTAACTCTAAATATTTTAAGGCCCATCAGGATGTTAGGAAATTTAACTATCAGGCACAATAGATATAATCTAATTTTTGAAACTAATCTTCTTCCACTATGGTTGCTACTCCTCCATTAGATCATATTTACACTAAAAACATATAAAGAATTTTAAACTCTTCTAGGATTAGATTGTGTTCTAACCCTCGTTGGTATCACGGAGTTGATCACTATATCATCTACAAGCAATATAATTGATACTTATTTTCCTAATATTGAAACATTTCAATACCCTCCCATTTTTAAAGACATCGATGATCACAATTCTTAGTTGTCTTATAATTCATATGAAAGCATTTAGGATGTTGATACTTTGGTGGATAGGAGGTTTCAAATTTTATTTATTAGATGGGACTGGTATTAAAAAAACTCTATTGTTACTCCCTTAATTCACGATGCTTCAAACAAGATGTTCCAAATGAGTGCTTTTTGTAGTTTTCATGATTTAAAGAATTTTCAATGTTGTTCATGCTATATTTTATCTTTTCTTTATATTTTTTCCCTCATACAAGTCTTCTTAATTGTCATTGTTGTACTTGATCATTTTCTAGTTATGATATTGTACTTTGAGAAAGTTTTCTTGTCACTAGCTAAGCTTTAATCATAACGAGGAAGAGAATAGGAGATATATTGTAAATAGGAACATATAAATCCTCATTTATTAGCCTAAGAAATTACCTCAATTTTTCTTTTTGTCATGTACTCCCTCCCCAAAAACTCCATCCCTCCTCGTGTGAGTGTTGTACCACAAGTAAAATCTTGAATAGCTTGAGAGCCTAACCTTTCCTTTGGTCTCCTTTCTTGGTGGCAGAATATGCAAAGATACGCTAAATTGGCATGATCATTCATGATGAAGGGCTGTGTTGTTTTCTTGTCAAGATGAAGGGTCAGGATGCCCCCATGATAAGTTTTCGGTTCCTTTTATTGGTAAAATAGATATTTCTTTTGTCGTCACATATTTATAAAAGAGAATAAGAACGAGAACATCCGTGCCTGGAAATGAGCATGCAAATGTGTAAGTTTTTCATGCATTAATGTCTCAGAACATGGATATAGATACATACATATTTAGGAATATACCTATGACTATGTTGTATATATGAAGAAATTTAGGATAATGGACTCTTGAGAGCAAAAGTACAGTGCAACAGTGCACACACAAGGAGTGCATGCACCTGCGCAGAAAGACTAAACCATGAATAAAGATTGACTGACACAAAAGCTTACAAACGCAGAAATTTCCATATGCTTATGCAAACAAATTGGCATCCAAATTTAAATTTATCCATGAAAGAATTTTTAATGCAGGAAGGAATCCATGAGTCTATATGCACATTCAAATTACTTTGATGCATTGGTTGATTGTAGAAAGAAGCGCATGCTTGTGCGTACCGTGCTTTCTTTGTTTCAATTTTCACAATTGTAACTACTTTCTTATCAAATAAAATGTATGGCCAGTAGAACTTGTGCAAGTGATGCAAGTAATTGATCTTCATTGCAATTAATTCTCCATGGTTGATTTTGCATCCACTTTTTGAGAGAGAGAGAGAAAAAAAAAAAACTTGTATATACTTCTATGCGCTTCTTCGCTAAATGCTTTCTAATTATTTTTGCTTTCCAGATGTGCAAAGCTTGAGGAGCTTGCTGATGCAGGGGAAGGGTTCCTTAGAGGATTCTATAGAGAACTAGGTGAGTATTGGATTCAGTGGAAGTTTTCTTTGTGCGATTTTGTAAATGTGTAGGTCAAGGAATACAAAAAAATGTTGAATGTTCTTATGATGGAATTATATGCTCTTTGTTATTCTAAATTTTTATAAGCATTTATGGATTAGGATATACTTTTTTATGTATAGAAGCATATGAACTTCTTATAAGGAATCTACTTGGGAATATTAAGTGAATTCGTTCTCTCTTCTCGAGGTTGGTTGGGGCACATATATATTATGAAAATTGAAAATTTTCATAAATCTACAAAAATAGCTTGGTTGTGAGGCATCAAATTAATGATTAATTTACTAATTTTGTGAAATACTTGCTCATGCATATCAATTGACGATTCATTTCTTTTATATACATCTATATGTAATAGAGCACATGTGAAACTTATTTTTATTTAAATTAATGACTTTTCACAACAAATGAAATTTAATGGTTTTTCCTCATTACACAAAGTTTTGTTTATTGATGGGTGGCTTTTTGTTTCCACAAGGCCTAGTAATCATATATTATTGTTGTAAATTGAAGATACCTTCAATCAAGGTTCCTTTATTTTGTGTTGTTTTTTCATGATGCGTTGCTTTCAACTGTGCAAGAACACTTTGAATATCATACTGTCACGATTATACAAATAATCTTTGAAAGCTTATCTCATTATTGTTTATTTGAATAGAGATATGCAGGAGGGCTCCACTTTGCAAAACATCGAGTGTGGTTGGTGAAGTTATCAATTCTAATTACACAGACAAACTGAAGGAATATGTTGAAGCTGGTTTTAACAATCGTGAAAATGTTGTTAAAAATATTAGTAAATGTAAGAACTGTTTCATCAGATTATATTAACTAAAAAGTGATAGAACTGTCATTAAGAGAAAATCATGTAAGGGACCTTCGTTAGACCAATAGCTATATTAGTTATTTATTATATTTCTTTTGATTTCAGTGCAGAGCGTTCTAATTTGTTTCATCTCATATTTTTCTTGGACATGTTATCAAAGTGAATTCTTGCAAACTAAGGCTTGAAGACTATTTAATCAAAGGTGACTTCTCTCTCAAGTTGTCTATGATATTCATTAGCTCATTTAAATGTTTATCACTTTTTTCTTATTTACTGACATTCAGTTGGAACCTGGTAAACTTCATACTTCATTTATCAACTTTACTATGCAATGCTTTTGGCAAAAGTAAATCAATAATTTTTCTTGATGTGATATTTTGTTTATGGAGAGATTTATATGTCAAGAAAGAAGTAAACGAAATTAGGGACATTTTTTTGCTGTCAACTATATGGAACATATGACAAGAGAGGAATAATAAATATTTTTCAACAAAATTTGGGAGGAAAAGTTTTCCAGTATAACATTGTACCCCGAACCTATTTTTGTGAAATTCTAATCATAGTAAAAAGACTATAATATCAAGAAGAGGCATGATAATAATCTCCTAGGCAGTGTTTTAGAATTATCCAGTGTTATGATCTTGCTTGTTTCTTCTTTTGTTATAGTGCCTATTTGGTTTCTTTTCATGATCTCATAGCTATGTAATTGTTTTTTATTTCTATTTAATAAGAAGGATCTGCAAGACTTTTTAAGCAAAAAGAATTACTACAAAGAAATAGGAATAAAAAGTTGTGCATATTAAAACTCCACAAGAATCATTGTAGCTGTTCGGCAAGCTCAGATGACACAAAAGTCTTTAATGTGTTATTTCATTACTGACATTTATTCTTCATCATTTTTGACATTTTATGATTACGTCGATCAATTCTCTCCTCTTCATCATGATTATTATCATATTACATTCCACGGATTAAATTCATAGATTCATAGGTTCTCTCATAGGCTCATTAGTTGGAAGAAATAGTTCTAACGGATCGCTCAAAGGTTCCTTATATTGAAGAAATAGTCCCAAAGGATCCCCCAATAGAGGAATTGTTTTGGCAACTTCACTTGATTTCATTAATTGAATTATGTGCGTAAGGGCTACTATATACTAGCAATTAATAACCTTGAAATTATTTTAATAAGTTCAATTTAAATAAGGTCACATATATAATCACATATCTTTGCTAAATACCAAACATTTAAGGGGTTTTATGGGATTATTGACCAATTAGAGGATATATCTTTCTTGGTTGAGGGGACAAAAAAGGCACACGCAAGGCAAGTCCAAATATTGCCCAAATGTGTCACTTGCTTTTGCCAATCCTCTCTTAAGTGGCCTTAAATGGAGAATAGGATTAGCCCCATGTTGCCATGATGTAGCTTTAATATATAACCAATTCCTAGTAGTGATACACCTTCATAGCCTCACCAAAGAGGAGCATACCCATCTTTAAATTATTGAGGTCATTGAGAGCCTTTTAAATCGTTCAGATTGATAATTGAGAAATTTCATTAATGTAGATATACTTATGGTTGTTTTTTTACCTCTGCACTTAATCTATTTGATCAAATCACAAGATATTGTTTTAATTTTGTCCCTTCCGGCACAGTCCCTATCAAGTGTCATTATATCAAGAAATCAATGATGCATGTTGCAGTTCAAATGCTTTTTGTTGATTTTCTCTATTATTGAGCAAACTTTTAGTTGATGTTTATTATGGAATAAGGTCTTGGGTTGTAATAGTCCATTGATTGAGATACTTTTCAATATGAGGTAGAGCAATGATTGACGTCTACAACCTCCACAATGAGAAGGAGATTTACTAGTGATATTGATGATATTGAGTTTAGTCCCATATTTAGTTTTAAAAATAGAGTTTAATGGAGTAATATTAGTTGTTGGTATCTCTCAGAAGCTTATTCTTTTAGATTAAATTGCTTTTTAGCCATCATTTGATTGGGCTTAATTGGTCTCCCATATCAAGGATTGATTATGAACAAAATAGCATTAGATTAGGTACACTATTTGTAAAATTCATTTTCTACCTCAGCTTGTCTATAGGTGAGAGCCAACTACCTGGTCTTTCTATCATAATACAATTTTCAATTAGCTGGTGTGGTACTTAACCTAATACTCTTATAGTCTTATGCACCTGACTATAATTTTAATTGTACAAACCCCCTAAATGTTCTAATTATATATTTCGTAGCTTTATTTTTTTTTCTTTGCTATTGTGATATTTTTCATTTTACTGATTTTCTGGGTTATTTATTTTCGATACCACGTTTGACTATTGAGTTTATTTATTTTAGATATCTTGTATGTCAAAAACTCTGTAATATTTATGGTGCGATAACAACATACATTTCTATTTAGGTTGGTAAAGGGGCTAACTAGTTCTTTGAGCCATCCAAATTCCTATTATTTCAATGAATAAATATTTTCCTTTATGCATGCAGTCTATACATCCACAAATATCTATTGTTGTCATTTCTATAAGTTGTTAAGTTCATTTTCCTACTTAATACATGAAATGAGTTTGGAATTTCATTTTACCTAGTATTCATTGAATTTCCTGGTATGATAATTCTATAATTGGATGTTAAATTACAGCTTTCTCTTGCTTTTCTTTTCAGCAAAAGCTGTCCTTGATGAACTTGAAAGCCTCAAGCACAATGCAATTGATATAATAAAGCATGCTATAGATGATCATTCTTCAGATCGTGTATTTAACTTCCTTGACGATAACATAACACAACAATCTCAGTCGGTTCGAGAGGTATAGCCAATAAATACATGTTATTTCAATTTGATTTATTGGTCTTTTGTCGATCATCATGCTTGTGTGATTGAAACTCTAAGGTCACTCTTTAGCGAAGTGACCTATAACAAATGGCACTTGAAAAGCTAAGTGACCTATTGAGTTTTAGATGTGATGTTGCTTCAGTTGCTTGTCACGAAAAGAGTATGTCCATAGGGGTTTTAAGCAAAAATTCACGTAAAATGTACCTTTTTGACATTATTTATCTTACCATTAAAAAGGACATGTACCTTTCTGGATTATTTATCATCCATTTATAGGGCTAAGAAAATTATTTTATTCCCACTAATCTTATGGTATATGCATTGATCCATCAGATTCTCCATGAAATAAAATGAAATGTAACATTATGAAACTTTAAATACGATTGGTGGGAGACTTCGGCTTCATTTGGGATGGCTTTTTTACTGCTTCTTGAATCAGCTTTCTAGTACAAAAATTTTAATTTGTATACTAAGAAGCTGCTTCAAGAAGTAGTAAAAAAGCCATCCCAAACGAAGTCTTCGTTTATCTTATACATAGATCTTTAAAATTTACAAATAAGATAATTTTTTTCACTTTAAATGAATACTTTTGGTTGTTTCGCATTCTAAATACCCACTGAGAAAGATTGTTTTCATATTCATTTGATGTTAACTCCATAACCAAAATGACCTGCTCATGCCAACAATGCTCTTCTTAGAGGTTGGAGGGAATGTATCATTATAATCAATCTCCACTTGCTGAGTGATTCGCTTAACGATTAGTCTTTCTTGATGTCATTTAATGTTATTTGAAAATTCTCTTTTAGTTTTGAAGACCCATTTATTCCCAATGGCCTTTGCTACTTGACTTAATTCAACAAGATCCCAAATTTAATTACTAGCCATTGAATATCCCTCTTTTTTTCATTGCAATATAAAATAATATGAGTTTACTTTCTCTCAAAACTTATGAAAATGTGAAGGGAATATCCTCAACATCAATTTAAATATCTGATTCTTGTAGATATGCTTATATTCAAAAGAAATACCAAGTTTTCTTATTTTGATAGACCTGAGGGTCTAATCTAATGGAAGATATCCTTTTTAGGATTTATTGTTATTGGAATGCAAATGAAATCCTGCTTATTTCAATGTTTGTACCAAAAAATATGGGGAAATTTGTAGCTATAAATTATTTATTTTTTAAAAATTTTATAACTGTTTCTCTTCAAACGTATGTAGGATGTACAAGAATCTTTGCTTCTTGATGGGTCAATGTCACGTTCAACTTTAATGACTATCATCTACGGAATGCTGAAGCTTGAATTTTCGATGCAGGTATAGCAAGCTGTTTTATTTTTTATTTTTTATTTTTTCAAATGCTATATAGTTGTAATTGTTGAAAGATCCATAAATACTTAAAAGTTAGAACAATGGAGAATATATTTAGAATATAAATATCCTAGAATTAATAGAATAAATTTGAATATATACTATAAATTTTAATGAGTATGATGTTAATACTTTTTATTCAATTTTATTTGAGAAGAGGATACCTAAATTTGACAGGTTAAGTGTTTTTGATGTATTATATAGCAAAATAAAAAAGGTTAAGAATTTTGTGTGTATTATGTAACAAAATGAAAATATTGATTGGGAGAAAACAAAAAATTTGGTTATACGGTAACATGGAAAAGTATTGTTGAGCTTTATGTGATAAAAGAATACCATATAACTTAAAAAAATAAATTCAATAAAATCTCAATTAGGATTCAATGTTGCATTGAGCCGTTATTGGGATGTCAAAAAGTCATTGACATCTAAGTTACAACAACAAAAATATCAAGCCTTTTATCCCACTATGTAGGGTAAGATACATGAATCCTTTTTCTTCGTCGTGTCCTGTTAAGTGTTAGATTCTCATTTAAACTTGATGAAAATACTATTTTTAATACTTTCTAATCAAATCTTTTTGGGTCCACCTTTAACTTTCTTAACATAGACCAAATCTATTACATTAACTCTCCTAATCGGATCATCAGAAGGTTGATGTTTTATGTGACCAAACCATCTAAGGCGTCTCTCTCTAATCTTATCATATATACTCGTTTCACATTCTATCTCTAAGAGTGAATCCATTCATCCACCTGAGCATCTTAATCTCTACAACACTTAATTTTAAGCCCATTGAACTATAAAACAAGTTTGACCTTTAGTTCAATTTTGCCTTCAACTGCATCTCTAGTCTTATCAACAAGAAGAATATCATCAACAAAAAGCATACATCATGGTACATCCTCATGTAAATGCCCTGTAAGAACATCCATGACTAGAGCTAAAATATATGGGCTTAAAGGTGATCCTTGGTATAATCCAACCGAAATAGGAAAATGCTTGGTCAAATCACCTTGTGTTTGAATACAAGTGACAGCTCCTACATACATATCCTTAATGACTTGAATATAAGCATTATCAACTCCTTTCCTTTCTAGAATTCTCCATAGCGCTTCTCTTGAAACTATCATATGTTTTCTCTAAATCAATAAATATAACATGTAGATCCTCCTTATTCTCTCTACACTTATCCATTAAACTTCTCAATAAATGTATATCTTCCATAGTAGACCTACCCGACATGAATCCAAATTGATTTTGAGAAACATTAATTTACATCGTAACCTACACTCAATAACTCTCTCCCATAGTTTTAAAATTAACTTAATTCCTCTATAATTTATACACCCTTGTACATCTTTTGTCTTCAAAATAATATTAAAATTTTTTGTAAGCCAAGAAATTTTTTTTGTCTCCTAAGTATTTTCACACCTCTATTAGAATATCATTAGGGCCAACAACATTTTCATACTTTATTTTCTTTAAAGTCTCTCTAACTTCGATTTTACTAGTAAGCCGATAAAAAATAAAAATCTCTATTTATATTTAGTATGCTAAGGCCTCCAGAGGCAATCATATTATCAAAATCCTCATTGAAAAAGTTATCAAACTATGTCATCCACATTTGTTAAATATCCTCTTTTAATAATTTTTTCTTACATTCATCCTTAATGCGCTTCAGCTGAACTAAATTCTTACTTCTTTTATATCTTTGCTTGATTAACTTATATATATATTGTCCTCCTTAGTATTTAATCTATTAAGTAAATCATTTAAAGTTAATTTTTTGGCATCACATATTCCTTTCTTAGACTATTTACGGGTCTCTTTATATCTTTCTTAGTATTCCGAGCTTTTACACAAACTAATTTAAAGTTTTTTATTTTTTATCTTTTCTTGTACATTTTGATTCCACAAACAACTATTTTTTTTATTAGGAGTTTTTCTTTTTTATGCTCCAAGCATATTCTTACTTGTTTTCACATAACATTACATTCATCAAGCACAGTCAAAATCTTAAGATCATGAATCTTACTTAAAAAAAAGTGTTCTTTAAATAACTCCATCTAATTTTAGGACAACATTTTACTTTATTTTTTATATTTCATCCTTTCATCTCAACGCCAAAATTAATAAGCGATACTGAGTACAAAAAATTTCATTCAGAATGACTTTATAATTTTTGTAATCTAAATGATCAATTTTTATTATAAGTAAACAATCAATCTCTATTTTATTATATCCATTCTTATAAGTTATGAGATATTCCTCCTTTTTCTTAAATAATATATTAACAATTACAAAATCATAAGCTAAAACAAAATTTAATATGATTATACTACCTTCATTATTTGCTACAAATTCATGACCATCATGAATTCTTTTAAAATATTCTACCTCTTCTCCAACATGATCATTTAAATATCTTCCAATAAAAATTAGTTCTTTAAAAGATATATTTTGTATTAATTATTCCAACTCATTTCAAAATTTTAATTTTGAATAAATATTCAAACCTACTTAATGAACATACATACTTATACTATTAATAATCTTAACATCAATTACAATATTTAAAATTATAATTTTATCTCCGATTCTATTAATTTTTACAACATTATCTTTCAAAATCTTATCTATAATCATATTTACATTATTTTTAGTACAACTCATGCCTGAATACTATAGTTTAAATCATAAACTATCAATTTTTTAAACTTTCTCTCCAACTTATTTAATTTCCTGAATGCATAGAATATTTATCTTCCTATGAATAATAATATTTATTAATTTTATTTATTTACCTCTAAGTGAATTTATATTTCAAGTTTCTATGCTAATTCTAATATCATGGACTAGCTACTTTACTCACATCCACCCATAATATAGGAACCCTTGCTTATTTAGAACTATACTCTGGTATCAGTGAAGCGGCCTTTGCATACTTTTCGTCATATTCAACTATACATTGCGTCTCTTTCAGGGAACACTCTAGTATTAACATGATATATTGAAGGATTTATGTCATACTTATTCGAAAATTTTTTTTCTGGCTTTTGGCTACCTAACGCAACATTGTTATTTTCATTCAAGGCTCAAGGGACCTGGCAACAATATCATTGATATCTATGTTAGTGTGTCAAAATCTAGAATGTTATGATGATGCACAACAAAATTAGGAATGATAAATTAAGAATGATTATGTTTGAGGAAATGGTAGAAGACTTTTATTGAAAATAAGATGGTTTGAAAGTGTACAATGAAGATAGAAAATGCATATGTTATTGAAGTTAATAAAATTATTGTCATGAGGATTATATAGAAAAAGAGATAGATATAAGGTTGTGGATACAATTTTTTTTAAATAGTTTGTGAACAATAGAATTAACTTATCAATCAACACTCAATAAAAATTGATGAAAATTAAGAATTTATTAGGTCAATCCCAAATGTTTTGGTTGATAAAATGGTATTATATTCACTTTTACATCTATAGTAGGATAGATCTATCCATAATCCATTTAGATTTGACCCTTAGTTTTTTCTTTTTAATGTGTGCATGTAATGGTTCAAAGGGTATCAATAGAAACTAATTTTACAAATAATACAACAACAATTCTTATTTAAAATGAAAATTTTGAAATGAAAGTCCATTTTTAATATGGAGGATAGCATCCATTGTTCATGAAGAATTTAATTAACAATCTTTTATTTACATTCTTGTATATAAATAACACCATCAAAAGTTATGATTCTAATGTGCCTATCATTTTTTGCATGTAGAACTTTTTAAGAACAAAATATAGGCTTGAACTAAAGATAATATTTGTTATGCCTTTTTATTAGAGCATGAAAGATGTTCTATTCCAAAAGGAATTTCATTTCAATAATTTGTCATTTGGTTTGAAATTGAAGTTTATAACAAGCTTTATATCATTGCCATTTACACACAAATACAATGAATTTTGTCATGCTTATGTAAGCACAGAGAGAGAGGAAATATTATTAGGTGCGGAGTGCGCACCGTCCGCACAAATATTGGGTACCTAGCGGTACCGCACTCGATACCGCTAGGTACCCAATACTTGTGCGTTCGGTTCTCCCCGTCCGCACTCCGCACCTAATAATCTCTCGGGGAGAGAGAGATTTGATATATTATCTTATTTGTAATAAGGGACCAAATTAAACGTCCTTCGATCTAGAATCCTATGTTTCTTTTGCTGCAGGAGAAAATTATACGGTCTCTCAACCTGAAGACATCTTCATCATTGTTTGAAAGTTATTGCCTGTTCTGGGAATTGCGCCCTAATATAGATGACAATGTGATGCATCAAGCCTGGAAATATGTCTCGGGATAGAAGAGTTGAGGCAAGTTATCTTCCAAGTATTTGATGGCTATGTGGCTCTCCTTCGACATGTAAGAAATTTTTCGTGTTTTAAGTTTTATGTGTCACGAATTATATCTATGTTCATTTTCATGTATAGTTCTTTCTCTTCTTTCTTTTTCCATTTTCATGTATTATGTAATTATATATACTTTTATATTCAAAACTCAATTATAAGAGGCTATTTTTTAGAATATTTTAAGTATAATTTGTATTTTATTTTTTACTTTCGAACTTCTATGAATAGTTTCATTAATGGTAATTAGGACCTTTTTTCACTTTTTTTTTTCTCCAAAAACTGCTTGCACATGAGTCTTAAAATACTTATAAATATGTGATAAAATATTTTGTATTTTTTTTTTTCATTTTGATGAATAAAATATTTTGCGAATAAGTGTTTTTTATTTACTCGGCGTTTAGTGGCTTTAAGTAGTTTTCCTATCTTTGATGAATAATTTTAAGAGAAAAGATCAACGTTAAATGAATAATTTATTATATTATAACGATTGCATACTTATAATTTATTATAGATTTAATGAGAGCTATTGCTCCACTTTGTTCTTGAGGATATATATATATATATATTCAATATCTCTATTTATTGTTTAATTTATAATATTATGAAAATTGATTTTGTTTATGCTTCACGTATTGGTGTTTTTATATGTTGTATTTGCAAAGGATTAAGTTATTATATCTCTACTCTCACTTGAAAAGTCATAGAGTGTGCCTACTGTATGAGTGAGGAAGTAACAAATTCATATTATAAAAAATTAACTAAAAATAATATTGATAGAACTACTTGTATCAATTAATATATTGTTAATTTGATAAATAGTGATTAGGGTTGTGACAACTATTGTGCCATTATAGGGATTACTACTAGCCTGTTTACTTCATTGGAAGTGATTGGGGAGACATTTATTGTTGGTGTCCATGAGGTGGTTGTTGAGTTGATTTTGCCAACTCAAAGCCTTTTAGCCATTGTGGAAGACTCGCTTATTCTTCTCCCATAATGGCGGACACCACTCTAGTGATATGGGTAGAATCAATATGTATAAACTCGTTCTTGCTATTATCTATTAGGTCTTTCACTAGATGTTGACTAGTGTCATCAAGTACAAATTCCTTCAACTTTTCAACTTTGTTGAAATCTTCAATAAGTTCGTAGAGGTTGCGGCATTCCTCAATGTCGTGGTCCTGATCTTTGTGTAATATGCTGTATCTGAATGCGTTTCTGATGTGTGCACTCATCTTTATAGGCACTGAGTGCTTAAAGAGCTCCTTGAATCATTGACACTCACAGAGGGGGGATTGTAGGGTAATTGAAGACATGATGAATACATACTCCTTGATATGCGTGAGTGGAGTTAAGGGGTTGCTCAACCCTTGGTGTGGGTGGTTCTGCAATTGTGAGTGGTTTGACATACATAAGCATTCTATGATGCTTTGGGTGGTAGCAATCATGCAGTTTTAGGGGTCTCATATCAGCTCTTCAATCCCTTTGTATGTTTCTCTCTTACTCCTGATGATTATTTCGGTCTCTCTTAGTGGTGAGTTCTCAAGGGAGAGTGGACGAGGAAGACTCAACCACTAAACTATACTCCTCAATGCTTAAGTGACAACTGGTGAGTTCGAGCAACTCAGACACCATCTTTTATTGTTGCAAACTAAGGGCATGAAAAGACCTTCTCACAACCCTCGCGTTAAAGTTGCTTAGGCAATAGTAGGCACTATTTTTTTCACATGAAGAATTTATCGTTGCAGACTCAATAAAATCACAGTGAATCATTGGGTTTTTATTTCATCTTGAGGAGGGTTGCAAACTCTTCAAAGGCTTTAGGGAGCTTACATATTGGGTTACAAACATCCTAATAAATTTTACAAAGGAGGTTGTCGCTTTCATTGGTAGGCGAGTGAACCACATAAGTGTCGACTCTTTAAGAGTTACGAAGAATAGTTGACATTAAAGGTATAATCAACATCCAATAACAACATCATTGACTTTAGTTAGCAACATTGTCTACTAGGTTAGCCATGCCCAGCTGAGGCAACTTGATTTTTGGAGGTGGTCTCGCCTCTTTAATCTTTCTAGAAAAGACTTTTGTTAGCTTAGGCTTAACCCTTCTCATGCACTAAGGTGGCGGGTTGTACTCCTCATACTTGCCAATATATGAGTGAGATCAACATTTTACATCGAGGTTAATGCTCTGCTCTCCAGCTTCATGCAGTGAAGATCTGAGTTAAAAGATCCCTTAAGGGTTCTCTCCCTTGTGCATGCCTTGGAAGCCCTACTAAAGGCATCTTTGATCATTTTGGCCAGCCTTTCCTGCATTTCCATGAGATCACAATGAGTGATATAGTTTGAGATTTCTATGGTCATTAAAATCTTAGGGTTAAATTTTCATGAAGTTGTGGTCATCTTTTAGTTACCAACATCAATCCATAATTGTAACACTTTTTTAGGATGTTGAATCCAAGTTTTCCATGGTTTACATATGTCACACCTCAAGATTTAATTTAGAAGAATTGTTTATTTTAATCATTTTTCATTATTTATTATAACTTCTATAAATCATTAACATAATCAATATCCAGTGAAAGTAATTAAAATCATATACATCAAAATATTTCACTATTCATTCACTGAAATTTCATATATCTTTGCCAGGAGATCATTACAATCACTATTCTATCACAATATCTTAACTATAAAAGAATAAAAAAATACATAATAAAATCTAAAGAAAGACTTGAGAATCTTTGCTAATCTCACTTCACCTAGTCTTGGCTTCTTCCTTGACATGAAATTATTAAAATTCACATGTGTTGAAAAGCCCAATAGTAATCCAAATCATCACTAAAGTTAATAATGTATGACTTAAGAATCAATATGTAAGACTCAAGAATTAATGTACATGCTTATTTCAACCAATAAACTGAATAACATTCAATATCCAATGCTCCGTTATCATTAGAACGATTCAATATAATCAATCGTTAAAAAAAAGGAATCATTACGTCAATTCAAAATCAACCTTCCATCGATAAATATAAAATAAGTAAAAAAGTAAATATGTAGTAAATCAGTAAAGCAATAAATTTGTTCAATACAAAGTAACAAGGCAGTATTATAATCATTCAAGTATCAATTAAAGGAATCAAAGGCACACATGTTTCAAAATCATCAATTTTTTTCTCTTACATCCATTCTATCAATTATATACAATCAATACTATATCCATTCATATGCTTTCTATGTGCACATGTTGTGAATCTATCTATCAATGCTATCAATATATGCATACATTAGTATATGATTTAGCAAAGGCAAGACATGTCACTTCAATGTGGTGTTTTAATCCTTTTATCTATATTCATTATATCATTATATCATTATCAATACATTATCTTTATCATTATTATTACACAAGTGGCTTTCAATAATCATTAAGAGTCATCAACCTCTGCTCGTCGGTATGATTTAATCATCATTTACAGGCTACAACTGAATCACACTACTAAACATCTTTAAAGGAATGCTTGTAGCACCCTTCTGCGTAGGGTATTATTTTTTAACAGCCAACCAATGTTATAGTATTAATAACCAGCCTTTCTTGCTAATGTAATTGCCACAATCAATTGTATCAAAATGCATAAAGAAATACTCAATTCTAATAAATACAAAGATATCTATATAATATTTATAACTTCACAAAATCACAACTTTAATTCTACCCAGTGAAATTTAGTAATATTATTGTCAAAATATTCATACTATTCATATTTATCAATCAAAAGTTATACTGTAAAAGTGCTGTAAATTAAGAGAAAATACAATTTTATCAATTTGAAAGAGAAATAATCCGTCAAACTTAAAATCATTGAAAATCAAAGTGAGATTTGAGTTATTTATAACAAATAGAATAAATCTCTGAGCAAAGTTGACGGACAAAAATGACCAAATTTTAAATTTCTCTCTCCTCTTTAGCTCCCTTTCTCTCTCCTTCTCCCTGCCTTCCTGAGCTAGTCATGACGTTGGAGGTTTTTGTTTAGGTTATTTAAGATAAAAATATATAAAAATACTTTTAGTGGTCTAGCGCCGCAACGCTCAGATCTTGCACCAAAACGTTGTATGTTGAATTCAAAGTTATTATAGAACATAGATACAAACACCACAACGATAGTTTCTGGCACCATTGTGCTCGCAAGCTTGATGTCACAACTCTCATGAGCACGACGTCGAAGCGCTCTAGTTCAAATAAAAATTCATTTTTTAACACATTTCAAAAATCGAGTGCCTTAGCATGCAAGCTAAAGAGATTGGAACACAAAAACTCGTGATGAGTATGGAAAGAAGAAGATTTTTGGGGAAATAAACTTATTAGCTTAATAAGGACTGTAAAATATTCTAAAAATTAAAGATGTCACTCTTCACATTTTATTTATAGAGATTCGATGGTTACAACGAAGATTGTTAAAAAAAAAGTAATAATAAATAACATCGAATGCAGATTGCCATGGACATATGACTTTGGTAGGCGTTGGGTATGATCGATTCTTATTGATCCAAATACTAAGCCTTGGGGCGAGTTCCATTCTACTGAGTGCTGGGCGAGTTGATGAAGATGTTTTTTGATGGGTTGAATATAAAGGTCTCCTATTGAAGATTCTTTCGGTCATTATCGAAATAGATTTGATGGAGTCTTTGGGCTGTTTGGATATGAGTGGTGAGTCTTCCTGAGTTACAATGTAATGTACTCAATAGTTGGCTGAGCATGAATAAGCGAACTTGGATCCTCTTGTTATGATCCTCCTAAGTTACTGGGTTGATGAATTCTATTGATGACTCATCGCTCGTGGTGACGACGAGTTGCTTTGAAAGTGTACTTCCAGTAGGCGGGTAGTGTCCTCCAAATCTTAGGGGACCCGCGCGAACCCTCCTCCAAATCTTGGGGGACTTGCACGAACCCAAGGTGTATTCTTGAGAATCAACTCCCATCAAGCCACCTTGTTGAGTTTAAAATGATTATCTTTAGACAAGTCTTCACTAAGGAGTTTTCTGCATAGGATTTACTGAATACCTACTAAGCACCTAAGAAAGCATATACAAGTATACACAATTAATTGGGCATATTCAAATTATCAAATAACTTTAATTTAAGTAGAATGTCCTTTAATTTGTAAAATAGTGTCATGGATTTA